TTAATTAATTGCGTTAAATAATTCATACGTTCGAGTGTTGAAAGCTCATAAACACGTATCCGAAGAAATATCCTCGACGTAACATCCCGTTGCGAACTGCCGAAAAGAGATATCAGATCTGAAAAATGCCCCGTATTTAACTGAAATATGCCTCGAGATAGCATCGCAAGCCCTCAATAATACGAAAATAGACCGAAATTCCCCGTCATAACTCACTCCTTGAAGGCTCCTTTGTCTCACCGAAAGAGATATCACTCGATCTCTAATAATTCGAAAATAGTCCGGACTCATTACTCATTCGTCGATTTTTTTCAAGCGGACACAAATATCTCGACAGCACATATCTGTGTCGGAAGTTAAAGAGCCAACTAAACGATCATTACCAAATATTTATTGCTGCCGGCGTTTACTCGGATTAATAACCATCTATCACTCGGGTGAAGGCTCGTACAGCCCCACTATTTAACATTCCGAGACCGAAAAATACACAGACACGACAGAAAAAGGATACCGATGAATAAATTACACGCTCAGGCTAACCCTCGGTGTATTTTTAACGAGAGACTTTTGTTGGGGAAGCGATTTTTTCATTTTGACAACGGAAATCGACGACTGGGCCACGAACATGTAAACGCATTTAAAAGTCTTGTTACCCATATGCTTTTTTACAAAAATTTTGACACAGATGAAAGATTTTGGGTAATTTTAACCAACAAAAACAACTTACTTCTCGTTATTATCTTCATAAATTTGTTTGTGTAAATTTGCACTGTGTAAGGTCTAAAAACCTCGAAATTGATGTTGGAAAATTATTTAAATAAAATTTTGGTGAATAAAAGTAGGGAACCAAACGTTTTTTGCGTAAACTATTTATTTTTTGAAAAAAGTATTTGATAAAGTACAACAAAAATGAGATGTTAATAATAAAGTTTTTCCATTTTTTTTGTTTTTGAGCTCTACATTTTTTTTATGTTTTTAATCTGCAATTGTGACAAAAAAATCGCATAACCTAGAAACAAAATAAAATTTCTTTCTCAAAATACGATCACATTTTTATATTACTTCAATTTATATCAAGGGCGCGTTACTGAAACGTCAGAACATCGTTTAAGTAATTCATTCAAATTTTTTTTTATTTTAATTTTTTACTGAAATTTTTGACAGATACAGATTATAAAAATAATAAAAAAGAGGTTAGTGTAGTTTTTAATGATTAAAAATTTATTTGAAATATTTATTCTCCTTTTAGATTAAATGTTGTTTAATAAAATTTCAAATAAAAAGTAATACAAACTTCTTCATGTAGTTATATAACAACTCCTTTACTATATGCTACATTATAGTACATAATTACTTTAAACTGATTGAAGAAAAAATAGTACAAAYACCGCCATTATTTGAATGTAACGTTTGGAAAATGTGGCCTGTTGTAGTTCAATAGTTTTCTCTGCAGAGGGGGCCAATGTAAAAATGTTTTTTTGTAATTAAATTATGAATCCTTGTATTGACAACTAACTAAAAGGAAAATATCATTCATTAAATTTTGTTACTCTGTGAATGGTGAATAAAGTTATGAAATGAGGGGCTTGCCTCCTAGAAATGGAGGATTTATTTTTGTCCAGTTGGTGATTTTAGTATTGTTAAAAATCACTAGGATCTAGGGACAAATTATCTGTCAAATCCAGAGGCTTTGGATATGTATATTAAATCTCTGGTCAAATCAAAGTCTCTTGTAATAAAATACGTTAAATGATTAGGATTAGAAGTAAGACAGCAGATGCAAAGGTGGTTTGACATTAATATTTCAAAATTTTTATTTTTTATTATAAATATTTTTTATCTGTATATACCAATGTCTTAATTTTACCTAATTTTACCAGATTTTGAATTTTGAAAATTTACTGCGCAGATTATACTGTTCCTACGAGTGTATGTACAAAATATGTCTTTTTAAAATGATACAAACAGTAGTTTTCTGAAGGCAAATGATTTAAATATATTCACCCTGTATAATATGATGTAATTCTACATTGATGATTATAAAACTTAAATCATGTAAACTCTGTTATCGTTTTTTGGCCATTTTTGCACCCACAATGTTATAACAATCAAAAATAATCTAAACCATTAAAATTTGGTGTAATTTTAACTAACAAAAACAACGTTTTACTTCGCATTATTATCTTCATAAATTTGTTTGTGTAAATTTGCACTGTGTAAGGTCTAAAAATCTTAGTTTCGAGGTTGGAAAATTATTTAAATAAAGTTTAGGTAAATAAAAGTAGGGAACCAAACGTTTTGTGCTTAAACTATTTATTTTTTGAAAAAAGTAATTGATAAAGTACAACTAAAATGGATGTTAATAATATATTTTTTTATTCTTTTTAAACTGCAATTGTGACAAAGAAGAAAAATCGCATAACTCATAAACAAAATAAAAATTCCTTCTCAAAATACGATCACATTTTTATATTACTTAAATTTATATTAATTATTTTCTGAAGGCAAATGATTTAAATATACTTTATATTCACCCTGTTTAATATGATGTAATTCTACATTGATGATTATAAAACTTAAATCATGTAAACTCTGTTATCGTTTTTTGGTCATTTTTGTACCCACAATGTTATAACAATCAAAAATAATTTAAACCATTTAAATTTGGTGTAATTTTAACTAACAAGAACAAGGTTTTTGCGTAAATTTACATTATGTTAAGTCTAAAAAAATCCCTAAATTGTTGATTTTAAGGCTTAAAAACGGGAAACAACTTAATTTGTTATGTTTACAGTTATCTCATTTTACACAGTGTTAAATTTACATAAGAAAAGGTAAAATTTTATTTTTTTAAGTAAACATACACCTGGTAAATAGTATACAAGTGCATCCAAAACGAAAAATTGACATTTTGTGTAAAAGTAAATTTATAATTTTAAAATTTAATCGTTGTGTAAAATTGCCCGAAATGTAGAAATGATGTATATCGTCCATTTCCTTCTAAAATTTTTCTTTGAGATTTTGAAAATTAATAATAAAACGTACTCGGTGTAAACTGAGACTACTAATTTTTTAGCTGTGTTAATCAGATTTTTATGTTTATTAAGATAAAACAAAAAAAAAACAAAAAAAATTTTTTACGTAAATTTACATTGTGTAATGTTACAAACGACAAAAATAAAACGTATGTGGAAAACCACATTTATGTCAATATTGGTCAATGTTCCAGAATCAAATAAAATAAAGAATGTAAGTAAAATTGGTTTACAATGGTTGTATTGTTTAAAAATGTGTAAAATGACACCAAAAATGAGGAACATTACATTCACTTTTTTGTTGGTATTTTTCTAATTATTATTTTTTAATAATAAGTGGAGTAAATTTAGAGGTAAAACACTGTAAAATTGAAATAAAAATGAGAAGCTACTTTACTAGTTTGTCTCAGATTTTTATGTTTATCAATAATTACGTTTATTATTCTAGAATTGAGCTTGAGAAACGAAAAAATTTAATTATTTTCAATATTCAAAAATCACCAAAAAAAAATCTAAGTGAAATTAGTTTAGACATTAGTGTTCCTTTATATCTATTGTTTTAAAAATGTGTAAAATGACATTAAAAATTGGTAATGTCAACATCACAGTAGCTTTTTATTATTTTTTTATATGCATAATAATGTAATAATACTTGGAGAAAATTTAGGTGTGTGTAAAATTACATCAAAAACGAGAAACGACTTAGCTTTCGATCTTTAATAATTATCATGTTCTTAGGTTTGATTTTTGATTTTGCTTCTTTCTCAGTATTTTTTAATATATTTTTGACTTTTTATCGTTGGAAATTAATAGTCATAGATTTTATTATTATGTAGAAATATTATATTTTACAAAAAAGTATTAAAAAAAACCTTCAAAAATAATAGTTAAAGTACGATAAACACAAAACACACAATTTTGTAAAGGTTTGATTTTTGTTGTTTTTTTTATTTGACAAAAAATACGACAAAACAAAACTAGACGTTGTTAATTTCGCTGTATTGAATTTATTTCAAATGTTCGATTCATGTTTTGTTTTTGTGTAAAAATGTTTTCTCCGTTTTTCACTTTTTCTTTTTTTACATCTTCATGTTACTTTTTGTATACTAGTTAAGTTTATTTTTAAAATTTTGAATATATACACAACATACAGAGTGTTTCAGAACTCGCATCTCAAAGTAAGATAAGATGCCAGGAATATGGAAAAATGTTAATAAAATTGTGTCTATTGTGGTAGTTGACATAAAAAAGATCAAATGTCAAACATTAAATGTCAGTTTTTTGATATAATCTTTTAAACAATTTTTCTATGTGTTCTAGTATCTTTATCTTTTGGCATTTTTCTTTGAGGCGCGAGTTTTGATACACAAATATGATGAAGATTCTAAAAAAAAATCAATCAGAGCACAATTTCCAAAAAAAAATTTCCAAATTTCTACCATTGGATTGCTTCATGTTTTTTTAAATTTTTTAATGTATTTTTTGTTTAGAGTTTTTGATTAGTATTTTATCAATTTTTGTGGTTTTGATGAATTAAAAAGGCCGCTAATTAGTGTCATTTCATGGATTCGTCCTTACAAATTAACAATAAAAGCTCTTGCATGAATGCAGCGTCAAACCCGATGGTTTGGGTTGATATAATTAGAGTGCGCCTTACTAATTGTATGTTATTAACATTGTAATTAAATCGTTGGATCAACTTCCGATGGCAAGATGGCCGCCGTCTCAGCAACTTGGCATAAGACCAAGTTGGTATTTTCTGTAGATATAACGCCAGTTTTTTCGTCCTATCCCGAGACAGGATATTGCAATATGGGGGCAATTAGTTGCATATGAGCCGTGACTTGAACGCATTTGTATGCTGGATGCTCGCGATCTCGACTCTTTATGGGCTACTAATAGCCCAATTGACGACCGAATTGGATGCCCACATATGGTATAACACACACTTTTTCTCTCTTACAGTCGACTCGAACGGCGAGGCCCCCAAACTCAAGTGCAATCTCCGCAAACACAAACCCAACAGAAAACCCAGGACCCCCTTCACCACCCAACAACTCCTAGCCCTCGAGAAAAAATTCAGAGACAAACAGTATCTGAGCATAGCGGAGAGGGCCGAGTTTTCCAGCAGTTTGAGACTCACAGAGACACAGGTAAACCCCCAAATCCCAATTCGAATAGAATTACAATTGAGTTTTAGGTGAAAATCTGGTTCCAAAACCGGAGGGCCAAAGCCAAGCGTCTCCAGGAGGCCGAGCTGGAGAAGCTGAAGATGGCGTCGCTGTCGCGGCACCCGCACCCCCTCTATCCGCATCCCGCCCTCCAGGGGTACTTCTCCCCCGGCGCCCACCCGCTGGCGTCGCTACTGGGGGCGCGGCCCCCCATGGCCCCTCTCGGCCTCATTCCGCAG